TTTTATTTTACCATTACGTATGTCAGATGCAGGTTCTTCCATAGATGTCCTTTAGTAAACTGAGGATGATCCCTTTAATTCCTTATCAATTGAGAGTTTCTAATCATGAATGAGTGTTGATTTTTTTTCAAATACTTTTTCTACATTTTAAAAAAGATACAGGTTTTCTTTTTTACTATGTTCGTATGATTAAATCCATTGATTCTGAATGCTAATGCAAACTTGCATTTCTAGAATAAACTCTATGATGTATTACCATCTTTTATAGATAGCAGTTTCTATTTGCTATTTTTTAGAAGAATTTTTGCATCTGTTTATGAGAGATGTTGATGTATGATTTTCCTTTCTTGTGAGGTCTTTTTCTGGCTTTGGTATGTGGGCAATGTTCCTAGAAGAGTTTGTGTAGAATTGTTAATATGTCTCCCTTAAATGTTTGGTAGAATTCATTTGTGCCATCTAGGCCTGTACTTTTTCTGTGTGAGGCTGTCAGCTACAAATTCAACTTATTAGGGCTATTCACGTTTTCTTTTTCTTAAATTTTTAAAAATATTATTTATTTATCTATTTATTTTAAGGATTTTATTTATTAGAGAGAGAGAAAGCATGATTGGGGGGGGGCGGTGAGAGAGGGAGAAGACTCCCCGCTGAGCAGGGAGCCCGATACCACCTGATCCCAGGACCCCGAGATGATGACCTGAGCCAAAGGCAGACGCTTAACCGACTGAGCCACCCAGGCGCCCCTCCTTTTTCTTCTTGAGTGAGCTTTGGTAGTTTGTGCCTTTCAAGGACTTTTTACATTTCACTTAAGTTGTTGAATTTATTGGCAAAAGTTAAAATTCCACACTGCTTTGGCTAGATCTAACAATTTCCATATATTCATTCAGTTCAAAATATTTTCAGACGAGATTGGGCACGTTCAGGGTGGTATGGTTATAGATTAGTTCAAAATATTTTCTTTCTTTTTTTTTTTTTAAAGATTTTATTTATTTATTTGAGAGAGAGGGAGAAGCAGACTTCCTGCTGAGCAGTGAGCCCAACACAGGGCTCAATCCCCGGACCCTGGGATCATGACCTGAGCTGAAGGTAGACACTTAACCAACTGAGCCACTCAGGTGCCCTAGCTCAAAATATTTTCAAATTTTCCTTTTTACCTCCTCTTTAATTCAGGGGTTATTTAGGAAGGTGATTTATTTTCCAAATATTTGGGGATTCTTCAGATACCTTCCTGTTAGTGATTTCTAATTTAATTCTGTTCTGGTCATAGAACATCTTTGTATAGTTTCCATTCTTTTAAATCATTTGAAACTTGTTTTATAGCCCATAATATGTACACGGGAAAATAATGCATTTTATGCTGTTGTTGGGTGGTGGTCTATAAATGTCATTTAATCAAGTTAGTTGACAGTATTATGTACTTTTTTTAAATTAAAGATTTTATTTATTTATTTGAGACAGAGAGAGTAAGAGAGAGCAGGAATGGAGAAGAAAGGGAGAAGCAGGCTCCCTATAAGCAGGGAGCCTGACATGGGGCTGGATCCCAGGACCCTGGGATCATGACCCCAGCTGAAGGCAGATGCTTAACAGACTGAGCCAGGCACCCCAATAGTATTATAAACTCTTACTGATTTTCTATTTTTATTATCATTTAAGTATTGAAATATCTATACTTGAAAACTTGCCTATATTTATTTCAATTTTACTAGGTTTTCTTTTTTTTTTTTTTTTTTAAGTAGCCTCCATGCCCAACATGGGGCTTGAACTCACAACCCCGAGATGGAGAGTTGCATTCTCTACCAGCTGAGCCAGCCAGGTGTCCCCTGACTTTCAGTTTATATTTAATGCACTTTGAAACTCTAAGAGTAATGGAGCTAGAAGACAACTGCTTTACTGTTGGATTCTCAAATGCCAGAAACAGAGGTCTCTCCCTTGGAGTCATTCAATTTCTGCAGAGAAGAAACTTCCCATCTATTGCTGAAGGGTAAATCTCTGGTTGGCAAGTGCACAGGGGTTGGGGAGGAGGGCATGTGTGTATGGGATTAAGTGAATGTTCCATATACAACAGGCCATTAATTTCACTGCTTTCCCTTCATGTCTCACTCCTGTCTTCTACAGTATTAAGCATTTCTGAGCCTGGAGCCAAACTGGCTCCTTTTTGTCCTTACCTACCATAAATGGCACCTGCTTCTGCTCTGATACAATAGCCATCCTCCTTCATCTTTCAAATTTTTGTTGAGATTCCTTGTTTGTTGTGGTCTTTTTCCTATTCTCTTTATTACTGTGGTTTTAAAAATGTAATTTTTTTTTTTAGCATTTTAATGCTGTCCAGAGAGATGTTTAACAAAAAGCACATTTTCTAGTCCTTTCTCTGCTAGTCATTTTGCTTAGCTGACCAAACACTGACATGATTTCTGTAGCCCTTGCTGATCAATTACCACATGCTCCTATGTATTAGCTTTTCCCAGATCTACCTCTTGAACCTACTTGTTGTTCTCACTTGCTCTCAGGTACCAATCCAGTGCCAGTTTTACTCTCACAACTACTTAGAGCATCTTGCTTTGAACTCTGCTTTCATTATCTAGGGTTCAGTGTTGCACCCCATGACCAGTTATTACCCTTTCTTATCAATGATGTACAAAGAGAAAGGCATAGGAGCTTCCATATTTCTTTCTCTCCCCTAACTCTGGCTAGGGCAGATGGTAGGAAGAATTAAAAGATTAGGGGTGTCTAGCTGGCTCAGTTAGTAGAGCATGCAACTCTTGATTCCAGGGTTCTGAGTTCGAGCCCCACACTGGGTGTAGAGATGACTAAAAATAAAATCTTAAAAAAAAAGAATTAAATATATTCATTAGTATTTTGATTTTAAGATATTAAACAATTCATATAGAAAGGAAATAGCACTCACTGAATAGATATGAATTTTAAGAATTGTAAAGTCTCAAGTAGTCAACAAATAATCTGTAAACTATATCTTTTGCTAAATTAGGGACAGAATTATCAGTTGGATATAATTGATGAGTACTGAGGATATCCAAAGGTCTTTGTTCAAATCAAGTACTTGTAAAGTATCAAGCCTAGTGTAACCCTTGAACTCTGAAAAATTTTTTTTCAACAATCCTAAAACATCTTTTTTAAAAAATTTTCACATTTCTGAAATTGGGTATATTAAGCAAAGTGCTTTCTTTTTCACAATGGTTTCTTAGTATCTGATGAAATGTGATCTATCCCGTTGTTCCCCCTGCATTTTCAAGTTTGTGGAAAAGTTCCTCTTTTCCACAAACTTCCTTCCCATAATCCGTGAAATGCTTCCCAAGGACTCTGATCATATTTCAATTGTATTAAGGAAGGTGATGCTTAAAAGAAAACAGTAAAAGCTAAATATAGTTAAAAACATTGATATTGTAAGTTATGCATAAAAGGAAATTTGGAAAAACAGGCTGTTTTATAATCACCTGAGATCTGAACTTCAAACCTTCCCCCAGCTTCATCACACGTGGGTTCTTGTGATCTTATTTGGCTCCAAATCCCAGTGAGATCCTATACATCAGGAAATTAGAAAACATATGTGATGAAAAAGTCGAATCCAAAACAGATACTCAGGTATGATCCATGAGGGTAGGAGGAATTGAGAGGCATTCATTACTCTAGAGATGGTGAAACAGAATCACGTCATTTGTGATACTGCCTTAGGGTATCCAAATAACTGAAGGATATTATGGAATGCTAAAGGGCAGATGCTCAGTCACCACCCTAATCATTCCATATGGAATGCTTGCCCAGGGATGGAGTCAAATATTCTGGAACTCTCAAAGAAAGGCAAATGTCTTTAATCTCTCTCCTTCGTTCCTTAATAGAAATTAGCTGTTTCCCCAAAATTAATGTACAATTTCCCTGTTATCTATGTCCAGGTAACTGCTTCAGGTTATGTTGTCAGGATATATCAGTTACAACCCCACCTTCCCAAGCTAATAAATAAGGCGTCCATATTTTCCCTACCATTTTTCATATATGGATACTAGTTATTGGTGGAAAACTGGAATATTGAACACTGGGTAGCCTCCTAAGAAATGCTTGTGGAATCACTAACTATCAGAAAATGAGGGCTGCTATCAGGAGCTCCTCATTGAACAGTAAATTCCAATTTAGTTATGTATGCAATCACTTTTCTACTCTCAACTGTTGCTTGAGGTTCTTGTATTAACTTCTAGGGGATGAATGTCTAACTTGGTGAGGTGTCCTAGCTTCACACCCCAAGTGAATGATATGTGACACAGTGCATTTTAGGCCTGATCATCCCAAACGTACTCTCCAAATATGTTTTAAAATGTTTTTGTGTAGCTATTTTTATACAAAGTACTTTCAACCAAATATAAAAATAATTTTATAAAGAAGTTATAGGTCTATAGTGAGGCCTAAAGATTTACGCTGGGGATGCTGTGAATACAAGTGGCTTTTGGGAGTACATCACATATTAAAACAAGAGATAAGCCCAAAGAGAAGAATATTAGAAACTTTCTCTCCTGACTTCTTTGTTTTATATAGTATAGAACATGAGTGCTGAAAAAAATTAATGAGGTATTGAGGAATTAAATATATTTAAATATATTTCAACTTCATTTGCTATGTTTCAACATGGTATGTACCCTACTTGGCTTTAGTTTGGCAGCAGGGGGTCATCTGAAGTGGTGAAATCTGGAAAAACTTCAACAGACCAGCTATACCCAGGAAAAAGAACTATTTATGTTCCTGAGCAGCTTTCTTGAGGGGAGAAGTGGAGGGGGGGTTCAACATTCTATAGTGTATGGGATATACCACACAAGTAGCTCTTCTCCACCTTCTTGTTGTGTGGCCACAGACTTGTATGTTTTGCAAAAACACAACAGATTTCATGCCCATTATATCTCCAATCACTCCCTTGACCTAAAACTAACATGTGCAATCATAGTTTAGAGAGGCTAATCAGGGCTGGAAGGAAATATGAAAAACACAAGGCACAAGATTGGAAGAGAAACCAGAGTTACAATTTCTCAGAGAATATGAACAAAGGGAAACATGTTCTGCTTACACAAATATAAAGTTCTTGCACTTAAAAAAAGCTGGGTAGGACATGTAGTTCTGATAACACTGGCTGAACTACAAAGTACAGACATTTCACTGTACCCATATGAGGAACCAGAAGTCAGTTTGTTGTATAGCATAACAAAGAGCTTGGTACTTAAATACTTTAAATGAATGTATGATTTTCAGTGAGGGAACATAAATGAGTAACTTTTACTATCTCTCTCCTGAGAATATAAAAGAATGACGTTAAAAATATTTAAGTCTTTACAGTATGAGCATATGACTGAAGACCTTATTTAATGGGATCTTTCCTATGAACCCGCTGGTGGATGTGGAGGTTGGAGCTCTGGCTGAAGCCCTTCCCACACTTGCTGCACTCATAGGGCTTCTCTCCAGTATGCACTCTCTGATGGATGAGGAGTTTTGAGCTCTGGGTAAATCCCTTCCCACACTTGCCGCAGTGATAGGGCTTCTCTCCAGTGTGGACTCTGAGATGGATGCGGAGATCGGAGCTCTGGCTGAAGCCCTTCCCACACTCGTAGCACTGGAAAGGCTTCTCGCCTGTGTGTATGCAGCGGTGAATGTGAAGGTTCGAACTCTGACTGAAGCCCTTCCCACACTCCCCACACTTGTAGGGCCTCTCCCCAGTGTGGACTCGCTGGTGGATGTGCAGGTTGGAGCGCTGACTGAAACTCATACCACACTCCCCACACTCATAGGGCTTCTCGCCAGTGTGCACTCGCTGGTGGATATGCAGTTTGGAGCTCTGACTAAAGCCCTTTCCACACTTGTCACATTTATAAGGCTTCTCGCCTGTATGGACTGCGTGATGAATGAGCAGACTCGAACTCCGAGTGAAGCCCTTCCCACACTTGTCACACTTATAGGGTTTCTCATCCGTGTGGACTGCTCGATGGATGAGGAGACTGGAGCTCCTTGTGAAGCCTTTCCCACACTGCTCACATTTGTAGGGCTTTTCTTCTGTGTGGTGTCTTTGATGAAGTAGTAGTTCTGAGTGCTCACTGAAGTCCTTACCACAGTGACTGCATCTGTGTAATTTCTCTGCAGTGTGGATTTTCTCACATGGATGACCATCTGAGCTGTTGTTACATCTCTTCCCAAGGTTGTAATGGTTACAGGGTTTCTCCTCTGTATGAGCTCTCCGATGGCTACGACTGACCACTCGTGATTTCCAACCACAAATGTCTTTGCAGGTACAGTCAAAGAGATCCAAAGACTCTTTCATTTGGCCATTTTGGCAATTTGCTTCACCACTGACCAATGGTGAGACCAGTTCTGTTACGTTAGACGTAAGTTTAATTTGAAGGTTCTCTGAACAATGGTCCATGGGAGGACTTTTTCCCTGCAAAACTTTTCTCTGAGTGCTTTCTTCAGTTACAGACAGACTTTTGCTTTTCTGAGGCTCCTGGGGCTCATTTTTACAGAACGTCACTGAGGAGTCCTGTGTGGCCATTTGGCTTGGGACTTTCAAAGACAAATATTCTTCATTTGCCATGTTTTTGTAATCATCACTTTGAAGAGTTACCACATTGCTCTTGTTTCTGGAAATATAGAAGATGCTTCTCCCTACTTCTGATAAGGGGAAAAATCTAGTTCAGGATTCCTGTACATGTCTCCTGGAAGATTCACAATATAATCCTGACTCTGTTATTGTACTGGCCATATCTTTAAAATTAGCCAGCAGAAAAGCCCCTATGTAATAGATCACTAAGTCCTTTCTCTTGAAGATTCTCCATAGAATTTTCTTTCAAGTCTCCTAGGGAACAAAGAGAATTCAGTGATAAGAACACACAAAGAGTAGATTTCAAAATTTTTTTAAATTTTTTTAAAGATTTTATTTATTCATCAGAGAGAGCACAAGCAGGGGGAGGGGCAGAGGCAGAGGGAGAAGCAGGCTCCCTACTGAGCAGGGAGCCCGATGCGGGACTCGATCCCAGGACCCTGGGATCATGACCTGAGCCGAAGGCAGACGCTTAACCAACTGAGCCACCCAAGCGTCCCAGATTTCAAGATATTAGAACTGGATTGCCTAATGCCTGAAGATTTAGTAACTAGGAAAGTTCAGTCTTGTCCTTATAGTCATGTCCTTTGGGTTAATATCAGAAAGAGAAAGTTTAGCTGTATAAAACAGCTTGTACACAAAATCTTATCTTGGCTTTTTTTTTTTTTTTTAAGATTTTATTTATTTATTTGACAGAGCGAAAGAGCACAAGCAGGGGGAGCAGCAGAGGGAGAGGAAGAAGGAGGCCCCCCTCCGAGCAGGGAGCCCAATGCAGGACTCGATCCCAGGACCCTGGGATCATGACCTGAGCCGAAGGCAGATGCTTAACCATCTGAGGTTAAGCGCCCCTTGGCTTTTAAACATAGCCAATAAAAGTGTTCTTTCCCTACCCTGCAGAGGCTATGAATCCCATGTCCTTGTCACAAATAACATTTCATTTGTTTACTTCATTTTACTTTAATTAAATTTGTATTTAATTGGTAACCCACTTTAATAGGAGCTGAGGATACAAAGAAGAAAATAGAAATTCTTTTGCTAAGCAAGCTAGAGCCTACTGGAAGAAAAAAAACAAATCAACTGTGGTAAAGCTCTAAATGCAACAACAGATGCATGCACGAGTCGTGGGAGCACAGAGTAGGGACATTTGACCCAAATCTTGGGGAAGAATTCTGGGAACAAATGTAAGGGAGAGAAAAAAAAGTGAAAATGTAGAAAAATATGGCACGCTCAGGAAAACTATATGCAACTTCTTGTGGAGGATATAAAACAGGTGACAGTGGTAAAGAATGTGCCCTGGAGAAGAATGCAGGAGCCCACACAAAGGGTTTGGTGCATACTAGTAAGGAGTTAGGGCTACAACCCTCAGGAATTTAAAGTTTAAGGAATTCATTGGAGAGTGAAGTGCCTGACTTTATGATTATAAACACCTTCAGAAATAACCAAGACTTTAGGTAGAGCAACAACTGCTGCAGCAAATCAGAAGCAAAGTGATAAAGATGGTTAAGAAGAGAAAGGGAGAGGTTCATTCTAAATCATGTGATGACTGACTAAATGTGGAAGGAGGCACCCAGCATAATCTTCACATTCCTTGCTTGAGTGACCAGGTATGAGGGTGTAAATGGTAAGACAGGCTGGGGTTGGGAAGAGGGGACCAATAAACACAAACTTTGACTTGGTTAATTTGTGGTGCTGGTGGAACATTCTTGAACTGTTCAGTAATATGGGTCTAGAACTCCGAGAGAGAACTGTGCTAGGAATGCAGATTTTAGACTTACTAGTATGTACATCAGTAATAACAATTAGAGCGAATATCTTAATATTACACTGAGATGACAAAAGAAGTCCACAATAGTCTTGGAAAAATAGAAAGTTTACAATCAGCAGGATAAAATGTTGAGGAACTCCTAGATGATAAAGAGTGGATGGATGAGAAATGATGGAGATACTAGGAAAAAAACCCCAAACACACAGCTCAAATCACATACAGAAGGCTTCCAAAAGAGTAAGAGATCTTCTCAACAAGTCCTAGAAATTCAAATTCCAAACTCAGAACCAACAATTATAAAGTAAGAGAGGTTGATCTTGGAAACAGGTTTATTAATTCACATTAGACCTTTCTTTCTCCCTCCCTTCCTTTCCTATTCATTCATTCATTCATTCATTCAAGTAATCTCTCACCCAGTATGGGGCTCAAACTCATGACCCCAAGATCAAGAGTCACATACTCTTCCAGATGAGCCAGCCAGGTGCCCCTCACATTAGGCATTTCTAATGGCTGGACCAGTTGTTGCCATTAGTAGCACCACTCTCCCAAACACCTTCTTCCCTACAAAAACTGAAATACTGGGTGGCTAAGGGTAGTGGCCCCACATAAGCCTCAAGAACAAAATAAATGGCCAAAAGAAATGCCAAAGAAGGGGCGCCTGGGTGGCTCAGTCGTTAAGCGTCTGCCTTTGGCTCGGGTCATGATCCCAGGGTCCTGGGATAGAGCCCCGCATCGGGCTCTCTGCTCAGAGGGAGGCCTGCTTCTCCCTCTACCACTCCCCCTGCTTGTGTTCCCTCTCTCGCTGTCTCTCTCACTGTCAAATAAATAAATAAAATCTCAAAAAAAAAAAAAATGCCAAAGAAAGACTCCTAATGGTATTATCTGGGCTGGAGAGAATAGCAGAAGGTGAGGTAATACTGAACCTGCACAATGACAGGGTTGATAAAGTACAAAAAGAAGCAAGTGACTCCACATCTGTCCAGGATAAAGGCTCAAGGTAACCCCTGAAGTGGGATTTCTGACAAGGGAGATACCTTAGAGCTGGAGATTGAGAAGCAGGGGATGTCCCAGGTAACTTACTGGACTGAAAAGGCAACATCAAAAAGGTGGTTGTAGAAGCACCCCCCATGTGGATTCTTATAGCCACCTCAAGCCCAATCAGCAGAAGCCTCCTCTATAAGGACAGCATGCATGCACCAAAAAGGGTCAAGCATTAGCTGAGGATGTATACTCCAGTATCATACTGTGAACATAAGACTTTTGAAAAAAATATGAGACAATAAAAACATAAGCAGACCAAAAAAAAGTAGAAAACGAACATAAATGAAGATTGGCGTACACTAAAGAAATAACAAACAGAAGAAATAGAATTTAAATGGTACCTAATTAAAATCCCAGAGAAATCTGAAAAGGTATCACATCTAGAAAAACAACATAATCTAATAATAAAATATAAACACACTGCTAAGAAAAATAATCAGAATTCTTTTAAATTAATACAAGGATTGAAAAAGATGACAATTTTAAGAACTAAGACCTACCATGCCCATTTGAAGTACTCAGGCACTATTTGGACAATCTCATGTAAGAGGAACTCCTAGGACATCTACACATGAGGAAACCCAAGGATGAAGAAGTTAAGTAACTTGTGTCATGTCATAGCTACTGTCAGGGAGGCTGATCTTAAGGTCTGCAATCTAGATGGGTTGAGTAGCAAATTAACACACGGTTAAGTTGGAAGACTGCGGGGTCGAGTAGCAAAATTAACACATGGTTAAGCTGGAAGGCTGAGGGGTCGAGTAGCAAAATTAACACACGGTTAAGTTGGAAGACTGAGGGGTCGAGCAGCAAAATTAACACACGGTTAAGTTGGAAGACTGAGGGGTCCAGTAGCAAAATTAACACATGGTTAAGTTGGAAGACTGAGGGGTCCTCCTAGAATGTGGAATAAAAAGGACAGACAGATGGAAAGATAAAAGTAAAAGCCCATATTGTAGGAGTTCCATGAATATAGTGAAGACAAAATGAAGGGAGAGAAATGATCAAAGCAGTAATAGATAAAAATGTTTCTTAGAATTCACAATTCACGGCTCACTGAATGCTTTAAGTTGTGTGGGAAACCTCTGGATTTCAAGGAAAAAAAATTCCAGAAAATGCTAAAAGCATCCAGACAGAAATGGCAGGTTGTGTGCAAATAAATGAGAGTTATATTGACACTGAACTATCAGCAATACTGGATACCTAAAGATAATTGAGCAATATCTTCCAATTTTGTAGAAAAAGTGTGAAAAAGATGATACATGATACAAGAAATAGCAGTGAGCAAAGAAGTCAATAAAACAATGAAGCTGAATCAATTGCTGCTACATAAAACAATAATAATTAACCAAATTAACCCAAATGCTATAAAACAGTATGGGATGGAAATCACTCCAAATAAAATATATTTTAAAAAGCAAGAATTAGCTTTAGGAAAGAAAAAAAAAAAAAAAAAGGAACTATAATCATAGTACACTACTTGACCCTGCAGGGAACAAGAGTTACAAGGTCAAAGCAATGTAAGCATTAATCACTGATGTGACCCTGACATAAAATCTTGGGAGGATGCGCATGTTGGGGTAATTGATGTAAAAGGTCTAAATCCTCATCTATGATGTAGAAAAGTCAATACAGAGTATAAAATATTGATCAACTGAAAAAGAGTAGTATATTATAATAAGCTCAAACTGGACTGAGATACCATTTTCCACCTGTTACCCTGGCAAA